CGAAAATATGGGAAGCCACACATGTGAAATAATAAAGACCCATGGGTTCTGCCACAGGAGGCTCCAGTATCTTGAAACTGCTTTGATGAAAACAGCAAAGTGTAGATGACAGGGTTAAAAACATTTGCCAAAGGAGACCAGAACATGGTGCTGCCAGTGGGAGGGCAGCTCTTATTCACCACTTTTTTTTTTCCTCTTGTACTAAGACTTTCTTATACCTAAACAGGATTCTACTTGGCAGATTTCTGTATTTCTGGGTTTCAGTCATAGAAGTAAAATGACAGTGACCCTAAACAGACTTTCCAGGGCAATAAACCAGGCAAGAACTAATTCATCAAGGTCAAGAGACAGGGACATTTCAAGGTATATCCATCAATACATGATCATCTAGGGATCAGACAAATGGGTTTCTTGCTCGATCTGGTCTTATGCTACTTGAGGTGTGGTAAGTCATGGAAAGGCCACATGAACCAGGAGATCTTCGTTGTATATCATGAATATCCACAGGCTTTCTATCTCTTACTACTAGTTTGGTCGTGATGTTCCCAGGAGATGAAATTAGCATGGGTGATCTTTAATTCTAGGCATTAATGTTTGTAAAACTGGACCTTAACTGACGGAAAGGTTTTCTTCCTGTTCTTCAAGGCACTGTGAAACTCTGAAGTCGAGACAGAGAGAGACAGAGGGACTGAAAGAGAGAAAACACTCCCCTGGAGGGGATGGCTACACTGCAATTCCTTCTCCTCCATTCTCCTCTTGGGATTTTGGGCACACACACACACACGTACCTGGCATAAGTTTTAAGTTGCTGGGTCCGGGACTCAAACCCTGGTCTTCTACCTGGGAGTCCAGCAATGTAACCATTACACTGTCTGTTGGTCCCTGTGCTGACAAGTTTTAAAGACTATGTCTGGGGTACAACTCTTTTCTAGCAGATTGAATAACACAGACACAGAGTTATAATCCATGCAACTATGATACAGCCTAAAATGTCATATTTGGATACTTCATTTGAATTCTTAGACTAGAGGAACAGCTCAAGAACCCACACCTTGCTGAGAGCTGAAACATTAAGAGGACAGAGTAAATGCTGGTGCCGTTTTGCAACCATACAAGGGGGACCTTTATGGAGGCATTTGTCAAAATTGCTATCACTGCATAATCATCCTCAGATAGAAGAGATGTCAAACATTCCTACAAAACGAAAATATGGGAAGCCACACATGTGAAATAATAAAGACCCATGGGTTCTGCCACAGGAGGCTCCAGTATCTTGAAACTGCTTTGATGAAAACAGCAAAGTGTAGATGACAGGGTTAAAAACATTTGCCAAAGGAGACCAGAACATGGTGCTGCCAGTGGGAGGGCAGCTCTTATTCACCACTTTTTTTTTTCCTCTTGTACTAAGACTTTCTTATACCTAAACAGGATTCTACTTGGCAGATTTCTGTATTTCTGGGTTTCAGTCATAGAAGTAAAATGACAGTGACCCTAAACAGACTTTCCAGGGCAATAAACCAGGCAAGAACTAATTCATCAAGGTCAAGAGACAGGGACATTTCAAGGTATATCCATCAATACATGATCATCTAGGGATCAGACAAATGGGTTTCTTGCTCGATCTGGTCTTATGCTACTTGAGGTGTGGTAAGTCATGGAAAGGCCACATGAACCAGGAGATCTTCGTTGTATATCATGAATATCCACAGGCTTTCTATCTCTTACTACTAGTTTGGTCGTGATGTTCCCAGGAGATGAAATTAGCATGGGTGATCTTTAATTCTAGGCATTAATGTTTGTAAAACTGGACCTTAACTGACGGAAAGGTTTTCTTCCTGTTCTTCAAGGCACTGTGAAACTCTGAAGTCACTCACATATAATTTGTCCCAGTGTAGAATTAACATACACACAAATACCTATCTATGTATGTGTGCTTCATTGTCCTAAAAACTTGTAAATGAATGATTTAAAAAGCATTTGACATTCTATTATTTTCGAACTTAGAAAAATATGTGGTGATAGGTACCATATATTTTGGTGTAATGGTTACATCGCTGGACTCCCATGTAGTTGACAACTGTGGTTTGAGTCTCGGACTCAGTGGCTTAAAACTCACTCCAGGGGCATAGGCATGCATACCCAAGATCCCAAGAGGAGAATGACAGAGAAGGGATTGCAGGTCCCAAGAGGAGAATGATGGAGAAGGGATTGCAGTGTGACCATCCCCTGGGTGGAAGTGGTGATTTCTCAATTTCTGTCTCTCTCTGTCTCTCTGGTGAGCATGCATGCTATATAGCAACCCCCCCTCCCCCCCAAAAAAGAAAATATATGGTGACAAAGTTAAGAAAATTTATTTAAAAAACTAAGCCTGTATGTCTTTTAAAGTTTCTAATTTTAAAGTGGGGCTTGACTTTAATATTTCAAATTATAAACAATACTCTCTTGTCTCTTGACAGTAGTAACCACATTTGACCCAGTAGCTCTACAAATGGAGGGAAGAGTATTAAAGGATTCATTTTCCCTCTCCAGTTACTTGATTTAGAGTTACAAAACACAGAATAATTATTATCTATTAATAGCTTTTAGCTTTTGAAATCAACAATCAGGTGAAGACTTTTTATTTATTCTAGTTTGTAAATTATTATTTTTGAGTATGGATTTAAACTAAACTCCAGCTTGTGTGTATCTTTATTGCTCCAAACTTCCCAGAATAAATCTTTCTAAATATTATCTTTGCTGGGTGTTAAGAATAACTAAGACAACTCCTTTGGGTGACGTACAGCTTAACTTTAACCTCAAGAATTCCATTACTCCCATGGTAAAGGGGGGCTAGGGAGAAACTACTATTAATGAAATCTTTTATATTGCATATTTTAATCATAAAAGTTACCATTTTTAAAAAGGTGACAGGTAGATAGAAGAAAATAATGAACTAAAAAAGATCACAGATAATAAAATGCCTAAGTTAGCTCTGACAAAGGGTCAACAAAAGTATCAAATTATTCAAATTTTAGGAAGCCTATACCAGAAATACTTGATTGACTCTCAAGTAATAATATCTCATTTTAAGAATAGTGCTCTAATCTCTTTTGAACCATATGGACAAGGCTTCTACTACATGGTTTTACAAATGATCAGAGCTATAGTGAAGTCCTGTTTCATTTGATTTGTCCAATAGCCATCAGGGCACAGGCATGAACTCTCAAGACGACTTGTCTACAAGGAGTTGGAAAGTGGACAGGAGTAAGAACAGAGCTGATGGCAAAGAAGAGAGATAGTAACAGGAACGGTACAGTTCTGGTATTAAACCTAAGACAACACAGAACATAAGAAACATTTATAAATTGCACCTATGAAGAAGCTTTTGAATTCTGAGAAACTCCACCTTTCCCATTCTATTTTCTTGTTTTTTTTTTTTAAAGACGGAAGTACAGAATTATTTAGTGGTTCATATTTTAGAAAAAGTTACGTTTTATGACAGATTCTATGAGTGGCATTTCTACATAGAAATACAAGTTTTAAAGAAATACACTAGAAGCAGTTTTATAATCAACTTTTAATGATTCAATTTAATTTTTTGTTATACTATATGAAAATGGATATGAATATGGTTTCTGTCCTCATAAGCTGATATTTTAGATCAATGACTGGAACAGTAGCTTCCATCATTAGATCACCATGAAAAAATTAAGAATAGAGGAAATTAAATTTTAATTACCTAGAGTTAGATACACACAATGACTTTAAAAGTACAGCTTAATTAATCCTTAAAACATTCCTCCAATTTATCACAAACCCTATTTTATATATGAGAAAATGGGTCGTAAAAGATTAAGCAACATATTAGCATGTAAGGCTATAAAGTGGGAAAATAGACTTTCCTGGCTTTTCTCCAAATGTACATGCTCTGCCCACACTAGGCTGTCCTGCATTTTTATTTAATTACATAATTTTACTGCCAGAGGTATAGACATTTATATCTACCCAGTACAGTTAGCTTTTTCATGCTCTTGTGTTTCAGCTAATGCTAAAATGAGTTGGCAAGTCATCTACCTTCATAACTGAGGGAAGAAGAACCAATCTCATGGCATATAAATAGGCTGGTGTAGGATTAAAAAGACTGCTTGGGGCCTGCCATTGGCATGGTGGTTAAGGTGGCTGGATCCCATGTGGCCTACTGCACGGTTCAACTCCCAGACCCAGTGGCTTGAAAAACATGTTGGAAGTGTGTATTCGCCCAAAATCCCAAGAGAATGGAGGAGGAGGGATTGTGGTGTGGCCATTACCCCAGTTTTTCACTTTCTCTCACTATTTGGAGAGCCTAAGCAAAAGCAAAAATGAGACAAACAATTGCCTGATACATGAAATAACGAATGTGTACGTGTCAGGAACATTTTAATTAACTTAATGTTTCATAAACTTAATAAGAGGGAAGGAGGGGGACAGGGCACCACCGAGTGAAACTGAGTGGTGATTCTGTAGGTAATGAGAAAACCCAGAGGGGTTCCTTTCCTCAGACTCTATCTTGGAGAATGTTCTAAAGTCTGTATTTGAGACTCTAAACGTGTAGAAATGTGGTAGAAATGGTGATGCTTCCAAACTGTCACTGCCTGTATAACGCAGACAGCAGCTTGGCAAAATGGACACAAAATCAAAGCAGTGCATGCCCAGTATGGTCCTTCCCCTGCACTGCCATCTGCCTGCCTCTGGGCTCTGGCCAGAGCACCTCCTTGGCCTGCCACATGTGGGTTCTAGAGGACAGAAACAATGAGCAGCTTGTCCCTCTCATACACATGATGGTACTAACTGCTTGGTTTTTGAGTAAAAATAAAATCATACTATATTTTACTGATTGTGTAAAACTACAAGATTTCAAAATAAGGTCAAGGTGTGGGTCTTTGAATACATTTTTTTAAATGATAGAGAAAAGATGACAAATATTTAGGAATAAGGTTTCTAGTCATCTGACCAAAGACTTCCTTTCTAAACTTGTTTTGCAGCTTGAGAATTATATCCAGGACAACATGAAAAAGGAAATGGTAGAGATGCAACAGAATGCAGTACAGAATCAGACAGCGGTGATGCTGGAAATAGGGACGAACCTGCTGAATCAAACAGCAGAACAAACCCGGAAATTAACTGATGTGGAAGCTCAAGTAAGTAATAAAATATAAAGCACCCAATGGTCCAGCCAGTCGACTGTGCCATGTAGTTACTCAATAAAATAATGAAAAACTAAAGAAAGCTTGACTATAAGAGGAAAGGATGCATTTATAAAAAAAGAATGAAGAATCTATGGCTAGTTAAGAAATTAAAAACTATAAATATGTGTTTTCATTTCAAAGACTGAGATTACATGACATATTTTCTACTGTAATATTTAGGACATTCAAGTTCATGTCCATGTTACTCATACAGCCTGTCTAGCTGTCCGATTCTTTTCAGAAAAGCGATGTGCTAAAACATTGCAATGACTCCTGAGTCCATCAGGACCTATATGCCATCCTTCCCCATCTCTCTCTCGTACTCATCCAAGAACCCTTATGAATGAAGCAGGAGATTTGATTTCCCAGATCCTTTTACAAAGCAACCAGCACAGAATGTTTGGGCCCAAAGAAGAGATAGGCTAAATCCATATTCCTGGCATTAATATTAAAATTAAAACTGTTAGCTTGGCCAGAGCCTATATTCATTTACAAAAGAATTTTCATGATACGAACTCAGCTAGCTTACGAACTCAGTCCATCCTGAAACCTGCATTTGCTGGGCTAGGACAAGAGTTTTGGGAACGACAAAAAGACACTAAACAAACAATGATTCTTTCAAGGACTCTGATTCCTTGGCAACAATTCTTACTTAGATTTACATATGATATCACATCCTGAATAACCATGACACGGAGGATGTGAGTAATCAATTCTTCCTGCTAAAAGGCAGCCAAATGCTAAAGAATCCGTCTTTTAAGTTGCTTGAATACAATGGGAAAGCGATACTGCACATGTTATATATAAGAAAGGCTCACAGGGCAAAACGAGTTTCCACTTTATATTGATACTTCATTGTTTTTTAATTGGTTGAAATGATTTTTAAAATAGGGAAAAAAAAATGGCCAAGAAAAAATAAAAGGCTGAACAAGTGGATACAAAGTAGGAAAGGTTATTTTAAACATGAGCTGTATTTTTATATAATGGCAATGTGTGACTGCAAATCCCTCTGTCCACTGACAAATAAATGTGAAAACAGCATTTTGTTTCTAGCAGAAGGAAATATATTTTTAATTTATCAAAAATTTCTGAACTATGAAACATGATCATTTTGTACTTTCACTTGCTTCACTGTGTGGACAAAAATAATAAAATATGGCAGAAATAGAAAAATAACATTATGTTATTTGACACAAACACCATTGCCCAGAACTATTAACTACTTTCCAAAATAAAGATATGGTTAAAAAAAAGTTTAACACACTCGGGATGTAATCCAAGACATAAAACCTTTTCTGAAAATGAAAAATATGCCAAAATAAGATACTTGGGTTGATAAATAATGTTTTAGTTATGTTTTCCTATAATGTGGATAATTTAAAAAGAAGTTGTAAGATTAAACTAAAAATGATAAATAGCAATGTCATTTTGTTACATTTAGGTATTAAATCAGACAACAAGACTTGAACTTCAGCTTCTGGAACATTCTCTCTCTACTAACAAGCTAGAAAAACAGATTTTGGATCAGACCAGTGAAATAAACAAACTGCAGGATAAGAACAGGTACTAGCAATGCAGACATGTTTGTAATGCAGAATTGTACATTTTGCATATATGAAATCCCATCTCGTGTGACTATTGATTATAAACATGGATTCTAAAATGATGTTTTTTCATGTCCAATATAAGAACCAGAAACCTTGTAAAGGACCAATGTGGACCTTCTAATACAGTGCTTGGTTTTGATTCTCTGGCCCCTTAAAGGTTTTTTTACAGTATTCCTCCAAATTTTGCTTCAACGTTACACATGTTAACCTTTAAAAAAAAATCCTGCTAGCACTGTAGAGTCAGTAACACTGACCTTTCCTTGTCAGTGAAACCATGGCCTTCACATGCATGCAATGTGACAACTTCTACTTATGCACCTTACATTTTCACAAGGTATTTCCTCTTCAGTGGGGACACGTGGAAATATATATATCTATATATCTATATATCTATATCTATATATCTATATATAAAGATATATATTTAGATATATACATATAATATATCTATCTATATCTATATATCTATATATATATATATATGTCATTTTATTCTGAAGGCATGAATATCAGCAGAACACCAACATCTTGAGATAATGACTCATACTGTTCTCATATCTTGATTTTTCTCTAATACTTCCCAAAATACCAGGTACATGGTAGATTTTCAATATATTGATGTTAAAATAGTTATGTAGTAAATAAATGGAAGGAAAAAGATCTAAAACCACCCATGAGAAGGCTTTGAATGCTCAGGAAATTTAATGTTGATTCTACATGCTTTGGTTTTTGAGAAAGTAAGTGCAAAAGGATTCAGAGCTTTAAATAAGTCACTGTAAGAATAAATGTCTACATCAGGTGATCTTCATGGAATGAGTAGAGAAAATAAAAGTTCTAATAGCTTAGAAGAAATGCTTCACTAGCTCCTAATGTGACATTAACAGAGGCGTGGTAAATTCGTTAATGACCTCAAAATAATTCTGAAACATGTAGATGCCACTGCTGATATATTTCATTATAAAAAAGGTAGGTAACTCAGAGATGAATTTAAAAAGAACACGAGAGATCTTCTACCTTTAAAACAAGGGCACTGCAATAGGAAAATTCATTTCTACTAAACTTTATACCAGATGGAAAATATCAGAGATAGGATCTGACAAGTGATTAGCTCTTTTACTATGTTTAAAAGTGTCTGTATCTTAAAAGCTTTATTTACTGGCTTCATACAATAGAATGAAGATATTGAAGAACTTTTGGTTAGTGTTTTTTCTGCCATAATCAGAAGAAGCCTCTTCTGGGGACCAGCAGTTAGCGTAATGGCTATGTTGCTGAACTGCCATGTAGTCAACCTCGGTTCAAGCTTGGACCCGGTGGCTTAAATTCACGCCGGACGCGTGTGCGTGTGTGCCCAAGATCCTGAGAGGAGAATGGAGGAGAAGGGATTGTGGTGTGGCCATCTCCCCTGGGGGGTGATTTCTCACTTTCTGTCTCCGTGTCTCTCTCTGTCTTTCTGGCAAATACATGCATCTTTAAAGAAAAAACCCCAAAAAAAAAAAAAAAAAAAAAAGCCTCTTCTGTGCTGAATAATGTAGTGACTAAACAGAGGAAGCAAGATTTTACACCAAGCATCAGGCCATCCAATTCTGCTTCGCATCTTATTTAAAAATCAAACCGAAAAAATGATTGCCAAGTACCTTTACTATGTATGTCTATTCCTGAGAAACAGTTAAAATTCTTAAATGCTTCATATGCACATAGACTATACTCACTTGAATCATTTTATTCTGGTTAAATGGACAGAAATAATTTCCAGTTTAAAATGAATTGAACACACACACATGCACACACACACATTAACATATCTTTATAAATAGAAATAAAAAAGACAAACTCTATAACCATTAATAAAATATTTTGAGACTTTTATGGCATAAATATATCAGTGATCAAAATAACTTTTAAAAAGGTTTGCTGCTCAGCTAGAGTGGCTCAAGAAAAAAGTTCCTTTTAAGGAGTTAATTCACATTTAACTGTTAAGTATAATTAAGTGCATGAGATAGTGATGGATAATGTCTTTTTTTAAAAGAAAAAAGGGTCCAAGTTAAAACAAAGAGAGGGGCAGATTTCTTTTAGAAAGATTGGGGTTGAATGCCACTTCTGCTACCTGTTGTGTGTACTTTAGGCCTGTGATTTATTGTCTCTAAGTTTCTATGTACTCATTGGAAATGGGGGAATAATAATCTTGATCTTAATAATAGCTAACACTTACTGAGTGTTGTGTGTCATTAGGAGGAATGCTACACTAGCTCTTAAAGTGATATTAACAGAAGCTGTGGTAGTTTATTAACTACTAGTCTAAGTATTTACATTTTAAAACTCATTTATTCCTCAGACCAACTATGTAAAGTAGGCGATATTATCTGATGAGGCGATATTTTACTGATGAGGATATTGATGCACAAAGTGATTAAGTCACTGGGTGAAGTATTTAACTGTTCATGGAGGAGTGTTTACCATTAGCATTGCTATTACCAATAGCATTAAAATGTTAGTTGTTATCATAATATCTCTAGGATTAATATTAAAATGGAAAAGTTCAGGGGAATGCTACAGTCTTACCCAAAGGTCCAGCCTAATTCAAATTCTCCCTTTCCAAAAACAAAAGAAAACAACAAAGACATTTTATGAGCAGTACATCTTGAAATAGCACCACCCTTCATCTGAAGTCCTATAGCATCTAAGGCTTGTAATATTTATGTTCCACCTATCAAAGTCCAGACTGAGGTATCTTTTATGTGTGCATGTATATCTGTAGGTATATACAAACATATATATTCACTTATATGTATATATGTACATGCACATCTACAGATGTAGCTCTGTATCTAATCTCAAGCAAGGTTGAGAGATTCAAGGCTGTGGAAACATCTTATTACTTTAAACATCTTAACAGAGTGCTTTAAAGAAGTAGAAATTTGGGACCAGCAGTTGGCATAATGGCTACTGTCGCTGGACTCCCATGTAGTCGACTGCAGTTTGAGTGCCAGATCCGGTGGCTTAAACTCATGCTGGGCGCATGTGTGTGTATGCCCAAGATCCTGAGAGGAGAATGGAGGAGAAGGAACTGTGGTGTGACCATCCCCCCAGGGGGTGATTTCTTGCTTTCTGTCTCTTTGTCTCTCTCTGTCTTTCTGGTAAGCGCACATGCCCTATAGCAAAAAAACTCTCAAAAAAAAAAAAAGAAGTAGAAATTCAATAAAAATAAAACATTTTATTAGAATTATGAAAGTGATTATATATTTATAAAGCAATATGTAATCATATTATGATGATGGTAATCTGGTAAGCAGGTAATGGTAACCAGGTAAGCAGAATACCTGATAGTATCAGGTAATCAGAATACCCTTCATTGACTAACAATTATTTTCCTTATAAGTTTCCTAGAAAAGAAAGTGCTAGACATGGAAGACAAACACATAGTTCAATTACGGTCAATGAAGGAAGAGAAAGATCAGCTTCAAGTATTGGTATCTAAGCAAAATTCCATCATTGATGAACTGAAAAAACAATTAGTGACTGCCACAGTAAATAATTCAGTTCTTCAAAAGCAGCAACATGATCTGATGGAGACAGTTCATAATTTATTGACTATGATATCAACAAATGGTAAGTAAAGTTTACGTATTATTTTTTCCTTTAGTTTTAATAGCCTTCTTGTTAGAAAAACTCTCAAATTCTGAAGAATTCTCATCTTTTAGAAAAGATAATACGTATTATATATTTCCTATGAAAATGTGGTATTTCAATATAGAATCAGTTAAGAAGAAGGAAAAGAAGGGGGAGGGTAAATAATATACTACACTAATTAATTATTATGAGGCAAAACACCACTACAAATATAATTTTCATTCATAGAAGTAAAGAGCCAACTTTGAGTTAGTTCAGCCATTTGCTAGATAGACAAGGCTAGGTAAGTTTCTAAATCATAGTGGAAAAATAGTTCTGGACCGGTAGGATTGCTGGGACTCTTAAATGAGGCAGTATTTTTAGTGAATGACATGAAACTATCTGTTGAATGATGCTAGTTCCACTCTCTTGTCAACTCCTTAAATATATTTTGCCTCGTTTAGTACTTCTTTTCAGTTTGTCTTAGATATTGGAGGGAAAAAAGGATGCATCTTTAATCATTAATTAGAAATGCAATATACTATCTTGGTGGCATTTTTAGGTGCTTTTTTCCCCCCTTACATTGAGTCTAGAATTTAGTATGATTTAGGTCATAATGTCTTTTTGGTGTATACTCCTAACACAAATGAACTTTGCACATGAATCATGTAGATGCATTCTTCATTTTCATAAGATGTCCTTGCATTTTCCTTGATTTTTTTCCCAAGTGGGGATGTGCCCTTTACCTGCCTGTCACTCCCATTCACACCAGTTACCTCGATTTTAATAGAAACATGTAAATAGTATAGGTATTTAAATAAGTAAACAAATAGAACAAGTAGTACATTTTTTTTTTCTTTTTAAAAAATTTTTGTGGGGCCGGCAGGTGGCATGGTGGTTAAGAACGCTGGACTTCCACATGGCCTACTGCAGTTCGAGTCCTGGACCTGGGAGCTTGATTTCTCACTTTTTCTCTCTTCTCTCGGGTCAAATTTAAATAAATAAATAAATAAAGTTAAATAAAATAATTCTTTTAAAAAGCAAAACAAAATTTTTGTTATAGGGCACTTGCAGTGAGAGAGAAAGAAAGAGAGAGGGAAAGTGAGAAAACACCCCCAGGAAGGATAGCCATTCCACAATCCCTTCTCCTCCATTCTCCCTTGGAATTTTGGGCATGCATACACATATGCCTGGCTTTTTCATGGCACCAGGTCCGGGACTCAAACTGCACAGTCAGCCATGTGGGGCTCAGCTGCCTTAATTTCCACACTGTCTACTGGCCCAAGCACAATCTTGACACTAACTGGCAGGCTGGTCACTGGGTTGCCAGTTTGCTGTATGTGCTTTCTCAGCAGAGTTTTATTCTCTTACAATTTAGAAAATTCATTCTTTTCCTACATGCATAGAAAAGAGGACGCCGATCATCTGACTCTCTAGTGGGACAAAGACAGAGTGGGGGTACCAGCTGTGATGAGCTAAAGCAGACAAAATTATTTAGCTCAGATTTTGGCAGAAAACAATGAGTACATAAAAAAGAGCAGCAGAGATGGTTTTCCTCTTTTCCGAGGGCCTTTAGCCAAGTGGGGATGTGCCCTTTACCCGCCTGT